TCTGCACAACTTGACACTGGAATAAGACACAAACGTTTTCTGTTCCATACTGTAAACACAAGTGAAATTCTATTTGGTCTGAACTGAGCTTCAGACTGATTTTAGGTCATGGACATAATTTATGATTTACTAATTACTCTTCTACAATGTCCCACATGTATTGGGCAAATCCTTGTTCTTCTGTGTCTTCATGCACCTGTGTCTCCATTGGTTCTTCTTCATCTTCATGATTTTCCTCCTGTATCAGCTGTGGCTGTAAGTTGCACAATCCTGCACAGATTGTCACAATGTCATCCACATTTTGAACTCTACCGGGAATAACTGTACTCAAAATCTTGAAGCATTTTAAATGTCTAATTGCTCGCTCTACATGTACATGTATTCAAACATTAGCCAGGCGACGTGTTTCAGTAACAGCAAATTCAGGAAATTCTTCAAGACCTTTGGTAAATGCTGGGATGGCCAGCTTTACTCCATGAGGCAAAATATCATCCATTGTAAAACCGCCATCTGCTAAAACCTTGTCTCCCGGTAAAAGCTGGTCAATAAAGCCAGATTCTTTTGCAATAAAGACATCACTGGCTCTTCCTCCAAATCCATTTGGTGCAATACAGTATAAAGCCTATATGTATTGTGGCTTTCATAATTACTAAATGTTTGTGCTCTCTTTTTCAAGTTTTTGGCCTGTTGGACAAATACTTCTGTGCAATCAATGATGCACATTGCTCTTTGGTAATTTTTAGCAAAACTCTGAGGCCTAACCCTTTGAAGTTTGTCCCGTGGAAGCCATAAAATTATGTTAAGCTTCATGAACTTGGCCATCAATGGTATCCATGCAGCAAAAATGTCACATGCTGTAGTTCAACTCACAGCAAAGTGTTTGCCTAAGTCAGTGAACATTAAACCAAGACGCAGTCTCACCAACACTAGCAAACTTTGGTCAGGTACTGTCATTTTAAATGTCATAGGTAGTGGAATGAATGCCACAAGAGCACTAACCAAGCCCCAAAATACTACTTTGCTTTATTAGCATAGTTTTAGCATAACAAAGGCATATTGTCATGCGATGCAAATGACCTGGAGAGCTCGATGTTTACTCCTAACTTGGGATCAAAATTAATTCGCGAACCTTCGCTGACTTCGCGAACAGTCAATTTTGAAGCCTGCCCTTAGTCCTGTGAAGAACTTGCTGTCCCTATCATCCATGTCATGGGCAGGCATAGCTGGTGCTGGATCAGTCTGGGTTGCAGAGGTCTTTGTTCTGGTATTACTCTCATACATGTAGGTGTGGTCTGCAATATCTGGCCACTGGGTGCCAGCCTCGACTTTCTGAGGTGGCATATCTTGAGACGTACGTTGTTTCTCTTCAGGTGCGATGTACGGATTATCCTCAGCTGTAGTTTGTTCTGCTGCCTCAAGGTCGTGTGCTTGGTTTTTTGTCTCAGGTTTTCGATACTGAAGATCATCTCCTCTTTTGAGGAGCTCTGCCAACCGAAAGAGATTTCTAAGTAATGTAAAAGTAAAAATGGACTACAGGTTACATAGATTTGTGAAAGGGAAACTGAAAGAGCTCAGGAGGGTAACTTCAATATTTACACTTGTCTTTCTTTCATGCTTCCTTACTTACAGCAGTATGTTCAACCATAATACTACTACTAAAAAGCACTGATATTTTCATTTTCTTTCAGAGATGAAAGAAGACAAACAATATAAAGACAGTTAACCTTCATAGTACATCTGAGCCATACTCACATGAGGAGTGTATCCCAGGTTCAAAATAGGGTACGGGTGTTCTTTCGTAGGCATTCCATCTGGAAAGTGGATTCCACAAACCAAAATGAAAGAATGAAAGAATATAACATCAAGGCACAGAAGATTGTGGAAATACAATTCAAATAAGAGCCTAACTTTAGGCTCACTAGCACAAGGGGGGGGGGGGGAACCAAACATTTAGCCAACTGTACATGTAAGCATATAAAGGTACATGTAGGCCTACATTAAGGGGGTTAGACAAGTTGACCGTTGAGATAACTCGACTCGGGACAACTCGACTGTTGAGACAACTCGACCGTTGAGACAACTCGACCGTTGAGACAACTCAACCGTATGTGCGTTAAATGGAAAGACAAGTTGTCTGTTGAGACAAGTTGCCATACTGTGCATGGTGACTTCGAGTCGAGTTGTCTCAACGGTCGAGTTGTCCCGAGGTCGAGTTGTCTCAACGGTTGAGTTGTCTCAACGGTCGAGATGTCTTGAGTCGAGTTGTCTCAACGGGTGTTGTCTGACATTTCTTGCATTCTACACTAACATGTATATACATGTATGCAGGTCAACTTGGTCCCAAACCAACTCGGTTCTAGGTCAACTCGGTCCCAAGTCAACTTGGTCCCAAGTCAAATCTGTCCCAAGTCAGCTCAGTCCCAACGGAGAAAATTAATGTACCTCTCTTGTAAGTTGTAATATTGATGAATGCAATATGATTTTCGCCCCTAGTGCCTTGGTAGAGAATTGTTTCCATAAATTTCAAAGTTCACTCTTGGGACTGAGTTGACTAGGGACCGAGTTGACCTGGGGCCAAGTTGACCTGGGACCGAGTTGACTTGGACCGAGTTGGTTTGGGACCGAGTTGACTTTAAACCTATATGTTTAGCATGTTAAGTGCAAGTGCCTTTTTGTTCTCTTACTCTTACTAGTTTAGTCTTGTGGAACGGGGTCCTAGTATTTAAACTACACAATAACCAGTGCTTTGGGCCTTTGTTTGCAATTGCACGTTTTATTTTAGCATGTTTTGTTAGACTTTGGTCATGTTATTGTTAGTATAAATTTATATATAACTTATTTTTTATAACACGAACAATATGTAAAACAATTAACACATACCACACAATGTTTCTTGGGAACAAAGTGCTTTAGAGACATGTTTTGCATCCACTGCCGACAAATTTCTGCCTGATCTTCACGGTTAGGAAATCTGTGCAACGAAAACGGCTTCGTGCATGTACACTCGCTGTGTATCAAAGGCGGGTGAACATCACACCGAGTTTTTTCCAAATTTGGATCTTTTTACTGCTATTTGAGCAGTTGTAGACAGCACAGTTTCTTCCTGAGTGTCCCTTCTTACTTGCCTTGGCAATTTTAGTTCATGTGGTCATCCAGATTAATTCAAGAAATTAGGAGTAGGGCAAAATTTGTAATTTTGTGTTGACTTCAACATTATGACAAATAGGCCTTCACCGTCGCTCATCATGACCGTGTTTATATTATGAACTCGATGTACACAGCAGGGACCTGGTAGTAGGGCGCCCTCAAGCATTTTAGTAATCTGGCTGGAGTCGTGTATAGGTCAAAGGGTTTTGGAATTATTGCTAATTAATTATTCATATGCATGAATGGTAATTCTGCTTTGTGTACACTATGTATGGCATGCTGCGCCAGAAATTTTTTCGCTGCGCAGCAAGCCGTGGTCCAAATTTTATGTTTTTGTTATCAAAAAAGATGCGCAAGCCTCGAGGCTGAAAAGTCAGATTAGCTCAGGTTGTGAAACAGTTTTTTTCAAGGGTATTGCGGAAAAAGTTGAGGGGGTGGGGTGGAAATCCCCCCCCCCCCCCTTAGGGTTAATTGTGCATTTTTATGAGCCTAAAGCTACCAAAATGTTGGCACTGATCACTATGCGACTTTGTACTGCACATCTCTGTCCTATTTGTCTATAAGATGACATAAACATACAACAAAACTTTACCAAAACAGCCACATGTTTATCCACAAACAGCTAGTTTCAAGTTGAAATTTTCAGTTGATCAATGAGAACGAACCAGTTGAAGGTGTAAATTGAATTCAAGTATGATCAAATTGAAACAGAGGAGCAATTAGGTCTCCATACACATTGTAATGTCACAGCTCAGTTTTATCTCATGACTACAAAAACAAGTAAATAAATGAATAAATAAATTGTATAAAACAATCATCGCAGTTCGTATACACGCGACTGGTCTCTTGCAGAAAATAGGCATCGTTGAAGAACTCATTTAAAGAAAAAAATATTTATTTTAAAAAATGTTGACATCTTTTTTAAAATGTTGACATATGTTTAAAAAAAGTTGTGATGTATTTCATAATGTTGGCAGTTGCCATGTAGGGTTGAATAAATTCCGCTTCGGCGTGCCATAGCCTACTTCAATGAATAAGCCAGTCAATGTTTAGTGATACATGTACATTTACAATGAATAACAATCCTGAAATGCAAAAGGGGGGCCTAAGATCTTGGTCATCGAGGGACGAAAAATTGTGAAACTGGGTACATGCATAGAACAACTTAACATGAACATACCCAAGAAACTTCATGACTATAGGTCAGATGGTTTTGGAATTATGGCTAAGTAATTATTCATATGCATGAATAGTAATTCGGCTTTGTGTACACTATGAATATGGGAGAATGAAGTTTTTTCATGGCACGTAGCGCCGTAATTTTTTCGCTGCATGACAACCCTTGGTCGGAATTCTATTTTTTTGGTATCAAAAGATGCGCAAGACTTGGCGAAAAAGTCAGAACAACTCGGGTCGCTAAACATTTTTTTCAAGGGTGTCACAGAAACTCCCCCCCCCCCCCCGGCCCTTTAAGGGTTAATTGTATATTCTTTTAGGTATATTTGTATATTCAGATCATAATATGATGCAAATGCTTTGTAAGATGGAACTTGAGGGCAGAATACTTTAAAAATGCCCAGTTTCTAAAGTGGGGTTCATTTAAACATTTTTGAAATTTTGCAATAAAGTGTTTTTTTTCACGTTTCACAGTTATTGTATACATTAAAGTATACCATTTTGATGTTGCCTTGTAATGATCCTAAGTAGTAAAGCTCAGTACACACTTCATGCAAATGCAAAGCCAATGTGCTCAACTTTGCGATTTTGCCGAGCAAAACATTAGTATGACATCACATTGGCGTTCCCTTTTGCAGTGAGTATGAATCAGCCTTCATATATTTTTTTTCCTTCAGGGATACTATTGTCAAGATGAGGCTGACTTTGAAGCCTGGTGCAGAGACATACAACAGGTACATGTACATGTATAAACATACAGTCATTGTCATCAGTGCGAGAACATTCAACACTTTTGAAGGTGGGAGGGTCAAAGCGCGGGGGTGGGGGGGGGGGGAATAAACCTCATTCGTCGATAGGGCACGCCCTTTTCCATGAGTACACTATTGTGTGACCTACCAACAGTGGGGGGGGGGGGGGGTGCCATTCCCCCTTTGGATAAAGTGGGGGAGGGAGAATCAGCGGCTTTTCACAAAAACATAAACACTAAGCAAACAATAAGATTTGTAATGATCAGTTATGTAAAACTTTAATAAGGAACTTAAACAGGTTGCTTTATTTTTTTTAAAGATTGAATATATCATCTAAAGCCATCTTACTTTATAAATTTACTTCATACCTTGCAGGATATGTTGACATCTTCTAATGAGCTAACCATCAACACATTTCACATCCAGGATTATTTTTATTTGCAGGTAATAAAGGAGCAGGATTTAAGTCCAATGTTTGAGTTGACTGAGGAACGACCATCCCATTGGCCACCATTTGACCCTGGCCAATCCAGTATGGACACCAGCTTTGGTATGTCATTATGTAGTTTGTTTATTCAAACAAGAAGCAAATCAATATTGCATCTAATTGTTGTGAAAACATTCCTATGACATGAAACTAAGTCGTCCACTGTTTACCTTGTGAAATGAGTCACTCTTCTGACAAGCATTAATTTAATTGTTCTCATATGTTCTTTGAGATGGTTTATTCATTTATTCTTTTGAAAATCATCAAATTTTGTTTTTGTTGTTGCATGACAACTACTATTAATTTTTGCGACCTTTAGGAGGTACATAAATGATTATTTTATTTTTGATGGATTTCATGTACTCTGAAAAGCCATTGGGAATTGTGCAATCAAAATTGAGCTGTTAGATACATGTATTTAATGGGAAGCTGCAGTTCCCAGCTAAATTACTTATAAACATATTTTGTTTGCTGCTGTCTAGTGGTTGTTCATTTAACTGACCCGTTTTTTAATCAAGTTTTCCCCCTTAAATCAGTACAGATTTAAATAGATTTACATTTTGTGGTGAATGTCAGTAACACCGTATCAAAAAATGAATGGCTATTACAAGATTGTTTTTTAAAAAAAGCTTTAGAAAATGTCAATAATTCCTGGCCAGTTACCACCAGAAAATAATTTAATTGCTTATCTTGGTGATTTGATTTGATTTTAAAATAATAACTGTTGTACATCAGTATTCAGTGATTCCAAACAGTCATTCAAACTCATTGAGCATTTACTCCACAAATGAGATCTTCAAATTCAAATAGTTTTACCACATAGATTACATTCTTTCAATTTCGTCAAAGCAAGGGGCAAGAAGTACATCAAAAATTCACTAATCCATTGGCAAACATCGATAGTTGAAAAATTAATGAAAGGGATATTTCCAAATAAGAAAAACATTATGTACACTTTGATAACTTAGTTGCACCAAGCTGTAATAGTCGAGTGTTTCGAGTAAATGATGATGGAAAAGCAAAGACAGGTTATGGCCAGCTTTGGTATGTTATTCAAAATTGGTTTATATCAAATGGATGATAACATCCAAGTTAATTATCCTTGAAAAGAATGTGCACTAAATTGTCTTTTCAGAAATAAGAGATGAGGTAGAGGAGGACCCTACGTATGATTCTGATGAGGAGTTTGAGCTTTTGTAAGCAACAGGAGAAGTGCCTTGCAAAGTCTTTTCACAGTGCTAATGTCTTCAACATCCCAACAATGGGAAGCTCTTGACAACCGTAACCTGTGATGCACTACTACATCCCTCATTAAATGGTTATTGCTGACAGAAACCATGAGATACATACTAGATCACACGTTTGAAAAGAACTGGCTTTGGATTTATTTGGTCTTAATCCGTTTTTGAGACTTTGTTTAGCATTCCTTAATAATGTGTTAAGAGCAGGCAGCAAACAAGTGTGCAAAATCTTTGTACTTGTATTATCAAGAGGCATTAATTCCTATGTAAACTGGTGATGTTTAGGCTCTCCCTCCCACAATCCTGCACAATCCTGTTATTGCGCAATTTGATTTATTGCTTCAAGCTTTTGGTGTTTATGACTGCTAAGCCTCAACCACCCATCTCAACCCCCCCCCCCCCCCCCCCCCCGATTATCTTGGGATTTTAACACCCAAGTTACTCCCCATCAAAAATCCTGCATCTACCACTGACTGTATATGGGTGAATAAGACATAAATGCATTACATTTTTGTATTCCATGAATGTAAGAATAATTTGTTCCTGTGTTATTCATACTTAAAACTATTAAGCTCGGTGGTCGAATGGCAAGACGTCTGCACTAGAAAGCAGGAGGTCGTGGGTTTGGGTCCAACCGGAGTGATTTTTTCCAACGTTCACTCGGGAGGTAGCACACTGAGTATATTTATACGTCGGTAAAGGGCAAGACCTTATATTGAAAACTATTTCTGTGATGCCACACTATTGTTTAAACTGTAGATTATATTGCATATCTATATATAGACAAATCTACAGTTGACAAATCACGATTCTACAGCAACTTATCACTTTCAATATGGCTTGGTAAATACTAATATTTTCGTTAAGGATAATACACGCGGAGCGCACCGCTCGTGGGTGAATGCCGCGCTACCGTGTGTATTAACCTACTTAACACCCTCCAAGAATTCCTCATTATTGCTTGAACGAAGGCCTTTGTACATCTTCAGTGTTGAATTTGATAAAATGGGAAAATCAATTTTGTTTATTTATGAGAAAAGAACAATGACGTCACATCATTGTTATTATTTAGTGAATATCATTTAAAAGAACGGCAGTCGTCAAGCTGCCACAGTAGCCTAATGGTAAACGAGATGAGCTATGGATGCAATGGTCCCTGGTTTGAATCCTGCTATGTCTATTATCCAGCGACCATTTTTTTTTAAATGAAGGGAAAAAGGAGAACGAAAATATAAGTGTCTTGCTGTGATTCTGTAAAATTACTGAATTATACATAAGTGGCTACGCCATTCGTCAGATGCCGAATGGCGCGCCGTGCTCCATTCGTGCAAAATAATGACGAGGAAAAAACAAGTATGACGTCACAGGAGGGTGTTAATATTTAAGACAACACCTAGCACTGGATTAACGATCTCAGGCAGATAATATGACCTTTAATATCAAATGACTTAATATAATTGAAGTGCTTTTATGGTGCTTTCCATTGTATCAACAATCTCAAAGCCCTTTACAATTATTCCCCCAGTCATCAGGCCACGAGACCACTCGGCTGAAATTCATTCATCTGTCCTCACAGGTACCCATTCATACTCCTGTGTGGAGAGAGGCAATTGCACACCATCATACTGGAGTCATACACCTTAACCACGGGACCATGGCGTTTTGTTCCATAATGTCCTCCAAGCTTAATTCCAAATTATAAGACATACCATTTTCTCAAAGATGATCATTACAATCTTGAAAACATTTCCATTAAGTTTTCAAATGTGGTAAACATTTGTTCAAGAATTCTATACATTATACTTGGTGAATGTTGGAGCATCCATGATAGTTCTCTTGTACAGACGCATAGTAGAAGATGGATGACTGGTTGTTTAGCAGATCACCTGCTGTCTTTGTTGCTACTGGCGTGAAGCTACAGAGTCTCAAAGCAAGCCGGCCAGCTTTGTCACAGATGCCGCCACACGTCGTCTGTTGGTTTTGCAAGGGGCCCGGGGATGCAAGTAGAACACTTTGAGGATGTTGATGGGTGACTGATATACTCCTCATAATTATAATCTCAGAATACATTTATCAGTCATCTCAAGATTTTCATAGGCATCCACAACTTTTGAGATAAAATAAAAAGACTATCGTGATCATTTAGAACTTCTTTTCGTAGTAGTTGCGATGTCCTTAAATTTAAATTCACGGCCGTTTGTAAGGGACAACACCAAGAACATTGTTCTCCATTGTCTAATCATTTCTAGGCGCGGATCCAACCCCCCCCCCCAGCTCTGTCCAAAAAAAAAATTATCATACACATTTTTAAAATATAAGTCGGAACCCCCCCCCCCCCCCCTGCTGTGACACCCAAATAAAATTATACTGGTATAATGTCCGCCTGTTCAAAATACGGTACCCATTCTGTAATCTAGTGTTAATAATCGTCGAATTTGAACAGTGCCCCTATTGAAAGAATATGGTACCAGCCCCCCCCCCCCCCCCCCCCCCCCCCCAGTTTTTTATTTTACGGAGGCCAAGTGCCTGGAGAAAAAACCTGTGTACATTTTCAGATTTTTTTGGCTGATGAACCCCCCCCCTGCGAAAATTCCTGGATCCGCCCCTGATTTCACAATTTGCAGTGTAGTGTAGATTGTATAAGCAATAGTTGTATACTTAACTCATCCCTAAGTAAGTTAACTTTAGTGTACATGTAGTTGATTAAAATGCGTGATATACCAGTGCGAGACTGTGGCACATTCTTGGGTTATACTTTCTACACGAGTTTAAATTAAAACCATAACTAGGAAATTATGAGAAAAGGCATTTGATTACTGAATGTTAAAAAGTCACTTAAAAATACATGTACTATTACGAGCTTCCTTTTCGGAACTCAATGCATAACTTCAATCTCAGTTATAACACTCTAAACCATTACCATTACATAATGTTTATAAATGATGCGCGATAAATTTGTTTAGGAGTACATCATTGCGCGAAGATGCAAACCACTTTTGCAACTTGAGCACTTGCATTGCAGAATGTAACGATACACAGCGTACACTCTCTCGTTGTTTCTGCATCGAAGACGAACGGCCTTCATGGCAGATGTTCCGTCTTGGCAGCTTATGCACCGATATTGGAACGGATGTCTCAAGACACTTCTGAAGCCAATCACTGGGTCTGCTGAAGACGTGCCTTCACAGAAGCCAGCACACCGTGACATCAACACAACCTGAGACAACGAAGAAGCCAGTTTATTATCCACTAACACTAGTACACAAATAGTTGTTACGCATTAGAAACGGCTGAACGTTACATATAATATTGTTTTCCCGGCCAATTTCCGAATTTTTCTGATCAGTTTCATTATTGGCCATTCAATTTCGCGTGATTTTGACACATCGGATCAAATTGGGTTTACTTTATTGTTAGGGCATTCAATTTCAAGTTTTGTTCCTAATGTTTGTTTTCTTTTTGGGGGGCATTCTATTTGGTGCTTTCAAGACTTTATTTGCAGCATTCTTACATTAATCTTTTGGTCTGAAAACCAGACTAGTCACCGCCCCGCTGTTCGCGAGCACGGTGCTGTATACAGACACATACAACGTCAACCAGTTTATCGTACATTGAAAACGACAGGGAAAACGTATTCGTACTCCGTCGTGTCTGATGTAAACAACCAGGTTTTTTTTCGTTTTTTCTCGGGAACGGTAAGACATTAGGTTGTTTTCCTTTCCACAAGATGTTTGAAAAAGTATATAAGTAGACAATCCAAAACATGACATTTTCGGGGATTTCAGGACCCACCATCGGGCCTACCTTTTCGCTGCAATGTTTCTTTGGATGCCGGATGGTTTCTACGTTAAAATATCTTGTGCACATTCCGTTGTCTTCGAAAGCTGTCGCTGCTGAAACAAAGAAACTTAACGCCAGTAGAAAGTTCAATGCAAAGCATAATTGCTGACATCCCGCCATGACAGTTTTTCAATGTAGCGTACATTTACCAGTAGTTGTTTCTGCTCATTGGCGAGTGTGAGCGTTATCCCGTTTCATATCATTTAGTTGAGCTGTGCGATCACATCTTTCACGGTTTCCAACCTCGTCCACAAATAAACCTTGTGATTTTCTTGATCAATAAATATGCGCCCCACAGCGGCTGCCACTTAGTTCATTATGTGGACTTTTTAAGAGCTTATGCGCACAAGCAATTATCATCGTGATGCTTGGAACAGGTGGATTCACTTTTTAAAACTGGGAAACCTGAATGGAGATGTGATATGCACCCAGGATGGTATTACCAACCTTTATACTGTGCTACAATCGAAATTTCCCGCATGATTAATGTCACAACCTATTTCAAGTCGTTACACTATGATGTCTTCCAGTACTATAGCAACTATTTTTTTAAAACCCCAACTGGGCTATATTTTGATCTTTTATAAGAAAGAATGGCAAAAAGAAATGGGAAATATGGAAGAATGGGCAATCGGGAGGATCGCCGGAGGGTAAAACACTGCGGGAGTATGAACCGAGAGGTCAAATGTAATAAGGGGAATTCAAAATAAAGACACAATCCTCAAGGAAAGGTCAAGCTACTTTAAAATGCCCATGCAATTATTTTTTTTTATAAATACTTAATACAATTCCTGAAAATCAACTTTTGTGTCCCATTTAACCTTATTTTCAATTACCGTTTTGCCATTTCAAGGGTATTCTAAAGTGCCTTGTTTACTTCTATGCTAAAAATGCAATTTCCATATTCATGAACCAAAGTGCGATGTCATTTCAGGCAGAAACCTCAATCTTACAGATATTTCAGCACCAAAAGTTGCCAGAAATTTGTATGTTTTGCTGCTGGCGTAAAGGTTTTATTTGGCGATTCACTATTGTTTCAGTACACGGCAGTTCAATGAGTACAATTTTATCACGGATGTTTTCATTGATCAAAATTTTGGGTGCACAATTTGAACTGAAAACCCCCAAATTGAACGGTGCCTTCCTGAATTGACATCACAGCAATAACGCCCTCAATTGTCCGGAAAGTGTGCATTTCAAAAAAACAAAAAAAAAATGTTTAAAGAATTGTACTTTCAATCAAATTAACCATAAGGGAACGTCAAGTAGCTTTCATACATTTAAGAGGAGTTAGAAAGTTGCATAAAATGCGTTCCTAAGAATTATTCATTTCATGAACGCTTTAAAGCATTAACATGGTTTTTCATTATGTCCACAGGTAACTCATAAACAAAAAACACGTTCATAAAGAAAATCGCTTGTATTGTACTACCTGATGACGTCACATGATAATATTTACTACTCTGTAGGATTGATGTTCAGTACAAGTTCCAAGTTATAATACACTGTATGAAGCGTTTTGAAGAAAGGTTGCGGAAAATATATCGTCCAAATCGCACCCAAAAGGGAGATTAACAGCCAGATCGCCAAAAATTGGGTTCATTTGAGCTTTTTTGAGCTCAAATAGGCCTACTAATTCGCCCGGGCGAAATATAGTAATAGTCTTGGGCGGAATAGCCCTTATTTACGGGTCGGCCTTATTAAATTGAAAGAGAGGTAAAATCTTCATTTTGGAACTTGCGAATGGAGATGAAAGCGATGAAATTAAAGTTAATAAGGGGAAAATGTGTGTTTGGGAGGTATCAAACACCCTGTTTAGTGGAGTCTGGATGAGTGATAATAATTACCTGAGGCGTCTCGGGTAATTATCACCAATCCAGACTCCAACCGGTCTTAAACAGAGTGTTTAATACCGACCAAGCACATATTTATTCTCATTCATAAATACCTTTTCGGTAAAAAAAAAATGAATATTTTCGGTCCAAAAATCTAAACAAGTAAAAAACTAGACGTTTGTTCAACAATTTTACTTCATGTTTTATGCAACACCCCTCTGACTATAATAATTATGTCCTTCTACAACTCCTTACATTATAAGGAGATTGGCGTGTGCGTCGCGTAGCTTGGCTGACGTAGTGTGAATTTTGGACTATGAAATGCTGATTCACTGGTAGTATTGCGCATGCCTACATGAGGAATGTGAACGTTCACCCAATGAATCGTTAAAGCTATATTCCATCATTTGCAGCTATCCGAAAAGTAACTGACGAATTAGTGTTGAACATACTTGGGTTGAAAGATAGTAAGGGGACTAAACTCCCTGTGAAATTTATTCTTTCTGGCATGCTGTCATTTTGAATAAATCAACGAAAGAAGGTTTTCCAACGGTGCGTCTTAAGCTTAAGAGGCATGATATCGTTGGACATTTTCCGTTTATAGTAGTTCGGGTTTTTTTATTCAGCGAAGCACGCGCAAGCTTTGGCACGACGCACACGTACGAGCGCGCGGTTGCTATAATTCGTCGGATCCAGTGCGCGACGTCGCGTAGCTGGTCAAGGCCCACGCGTCTTGATCCGGACACGTGACGCGCCCCGGATGCTGGCACGTCAACCTCGTTCCCCATGGGTACGATCTTGCTGCGCCATGTTGTTTCCCATCATGCCTTGCGCGATCTTAACCCCTGGAATTGTGTAATTTAAATTTGTCAAAATATGGCAAATTATAATTAGGCTGCAGTTTATCCGTTTTACGTGCCGACGCCATCTTTAAAATGTTAAAAGTTGTGATTTTGAAGAATCAATCCTTTCAAACATAACGTTTGGACGTTGCGTTATTTAGCAAAGATTTGTATTAAATGTACGTACCCATTTCGTGCCTTTACAACCACAGATACGGGTGTTTTTTTAGCGAAAAACGAGGCTGCCATAATCCATATCGTACAGGCATCGCGACTTTTGAATAACATTTTTTTTCGTACGTGACGTTACCATTACGTGCAAAGCACAAATGCGCGCGCAGTACGCTGTGAATGGCCAATCAGCGTCATTTACGTCATCATCACAGCCAGGGGTTAGTGTAGGAACGCGCACGCGCCCATGGAGTCGAGGCTGCTGGCACGTAAAAAGACTTTGCCGCTCACTGGATAGTCTTTTTACGCGCCAGCATCCGGGACGCGTCACGTGTCCGGATCAAGACGCGTGGGCCTTCACTAAAGGCTAGACATCGCGTAGCTGCAGTCAGCTCAGCGAGAACGTGTCTCTGACGTAGTCTGGTTCCCAGACCTGACAATTATTCCCGACTCTCACGTC